TTATTAATCGTATGTCATCGTCTGTATTAAATGGGCAAAGTCCATATTCTGTCATTTTGTCGATTAAACCCTTATTTTTTTTAACTCCTAAGGTTTTTGGGTGTGTCTGTTCTGTTCACAACTTGGGCCTTGGGTTTGATAAACTGGACCTTCATGCTACCAAATGTGTCTTTCTAGAATACTACCATACACAGAAGGGATATCCTTGTTATAGTTCTTTTCTTCGTCGATAGTTTACTAGTGATGTCACTTTTAATGAATCGATTCCGTATTTTTTGGCACCTACTCAGCCTTTGGATCTAGATTTTAGGTCTTCCCTTATACTACCACCTCTTCCTTTATCGTCAGATATTCCATTGCCCACTGTGCAGCCATCTACTTCTCCACTCGTGTATACTCTCGTCGTCCTCGACCATCGACTGAGGTGACCGTATCGTCTTCCTTGTCATCTCCTGATCCTAGTCTATCAGGTAATTTTAACTCTTTACCTATTGCTTTTCAGATGGTTACTCGCTCGTGTGTTACTAACTATCCCTTTGCTCATTTCGTTTTATATGATGTCTTGTCTCCTGCTTTCTCTTATTTGATCTTTCAACTATATACTATCTCTATTCCTAAATACTTACAAGATACTTTTGTCTAATCTGGGCTAGAGGAAAACTATGGATGTGGAGATAGATGTATTACATCATAATGAGACTTGGGATCTTGTTCGTTTACCTCCTTGTAAACGGACTGTGGGGTGTTGTTGAGTGTATACTGTTAAGTTTAATCCGAATGGTTTTGTGGAGCGTCTCAAAGCCCGTCTTGTTGCTAAGGGCTTTACTCAGACATATGAGGTTGATTATGAAGAGACTTTCTCTCGCATTACCAAAATCTCTTTTGTTCATATATTGATTTTTTTGACTACTAATCATGATTGGTCCTTATTTCAGCTAGATGTCAAGAATGTCTTTTTGCATGGTAACTTCATTGAAAAGGTCTACATAGAGCAGCCATCTGGGTTTACTGCTCAAGGGGAATACTGTAAGCATGTGTGTCAGTTAAAGAAATCTTTGTATGGTTTGAAGCAGTCACCAAGAGCATGATTTGACAAGTTTTTAAATACAATTCTAGAGTTTGGTCTTCTTCGATATTAGACAGATCATTCAGTGTTCTATAGATAGACGGATACCAGATATGTTCTATTGGTGGTCTATATAAATGATATTGTGATTACTGGAAATGATTCTGAAGAGATTGTCAACTTAAAAACCTTCCTGCAAGAACGATTTCATACTAAATACTTAGGAAAACTCAGATATTTCTTGAGTATTGAGGTTGCGAGATCTAAATAGCGTATCTGTTTATCCCAAAGAAAATATATACTTGATATGCTAGAGGAAGCAGTTTGCTTGGTAGGTAGCAAACCAATTGATGTTCCTATGGATCTGAATCAAAAATTGTTGATGGATAACGGTGCATTGTTTTAGAATCCGGGTTGGTATCGCAAATTAGTTGGAAAGCTTAATTATCTCAATATCATCCGACTGAATATTTTCAAAGCAGTTACTATAGTAAGTCAGTTTATGAGATGTCCTAAAGTACCACATTGAGAGACAGTTACTCGTATTCTACAATATCTCAAACGTGCTTCTGGTCTTGGGCTTTTATATTGAGCTAATGGTCATTTTACAATGGAAGGTTTTCTAGATGCTGATTGAGCAGGCTTTCCTTCTGATCGAAGGTAACATTGTCTCATGGAAGAGTAAGAAATAAACCGTGGTAGCAAGGTTCAGTGCTGAGGTTGAGTATAGAACGATGGCATATACAACAAGTAAGTTGACGTGACTACTACACTTTCTCCAAGAAATTAGCTTTCCAGTTCAACCTCCTTTATAATTGTTCTGTGACAATCAAGTAACTATTTATATTGTTACTAATCCAGTATTTCATGAGAAAACCAAATATATTAAGGTTGATTGTCATTTTATTCGAGACAAGATAGTAGTTAGAAATATTACAACTCCATTTGTGAGATCTGAGAATCAACTTGTAGATATATTTTCCAAAGGATTGATTCGTACACGTCTTACAACTATTTATTCCAAACTTAGATTATATAATATATATAGTCCAGCTTGAGGAAGAGTGTTAGGATATTATGTAAATATTAGTTAGTTGTAATAAGTATACCACTACAACGTATACACGTCTTTTGTATGGTTACGACTTAACTATAAATACAAGTGATTTGTGAGAGGTAGGTTATGTTTTTGACCACTTTCCTTCTTACTCTAATATTATGTTAACTTTCTAAACTTAACACTCGCAAACTCTTTCGGTCCATAGGTGGAACCCACAAATATTTCGCCAATTGAAAACTAAAACAAGAAATTAAAAGGCATTTAGTAAGATGAAAAGAGCATTTTCCTGGTGAGCAAATTCCCAACAGGGTTAGGCAGGTTTGAAATCAGAATAAAACAGACTCTTTGTCCTTGTTTTCTTGCCTGATTGAATGCTTTATCAGGAGCAGTGACTCTCAAAGAGAACTTGTCAGGGCAACGACAGTGAACGGGTATCAAGTCCAGGCCTGTTCGCCAATTCATATACCTATCAACCCCGTAGATTGCATTTCAGATTATAAATCACACACAAAACAATAGGGAAAGGAAAGGGATGGATCACACGTGATAATGTGACGAAAAAGTGTTTTAACAAATTGGAAATATATTAGAAATTTATTAGCAGAATCAAAAAGAAATTTATTACCAAGGCCGTAGGGTATTGGAACAAGAAATGGAATTCCTTGGTCTGCCAAACAAAAGCAGAGCATCTCAATAGTAGTTGCACCAGATGTTAATATTAGTTGTGATGGGTCAGTCATCATACTCTTCCCATCACCTGAGACATGAAACCAGCCATTGCCCCCAGAACCGATAAAATAATATTTAGACAGACCATTGCATTTTCCTCTGCAAATGTAGCTGGTTATTATGTACATAAAAACAAGAAAACAATTCACACATTAACAGAAGCTAATAACAACAAAGAAAAGTTTAATGAAAAGAAATATAGAACGAAGGAGAAGAGAGACTGTCGGCGATTATTTATGTTGGCAAAAATACTATAAGACAAAAGCAATGTCTACTTCAGTAAGTCTAATTCATTACCAAAGTCTGAAACAGTAGGAGTTGATATGAAAACCTACACAAACTATGTAGTCCATGATTGAAGCCGGTTCGCTGAAGGTCGCTTGTGTTCTTACTTATTAAATTTTGGAGTAACACAATTTTAGGTGATGAGAAGTGGACCTAGATACTAATACTATAGTTAAACACTGGAGTAAATCAAATTTTTGAGTTCTTAAAAGATGATTTGACGAGTGTCTGTTATGCTGACAATGGTTTTCACTAAAAAATTAGGTTTTGAACTGAAAATCTATAAGATACTGTTCGAACCAATCTTAGGTTTATTTTAACGGAACTCTTTCGAATTACTCAATGTGAAATCCCAAAACATCACACACGATGGTTGTTTGATGAGAGTTCAAGCAAAGTGTTTTTGAGGTTCGGAATTGAAATTCCATGGGTTCCCTCCAGACGGCCATTTAATGCTTGTTTGAATGGTCGAACTAGCATCCTAAAGAGCTTTGGATGCAAAAGAAAACCCAGGTTTCAATAACATAGTTTTTCAAGAGAATTGAGGAGAAAATTGCAGAGACAACATTTTTTTGAGAAATCAACCCAAACATAAACCTGCCAAGTGCTAATATGTTTGTTTGTGTTCTAAAACTTCTAGGAAAGTAAAATTTATTGAAGATCTCCGAGGGTTTAGGTTGCTGTAAACAAATTAAAAAGGCATCCAACTGAAATAAATGAGATAACTACCATTTTCAGCTCCACCAATCCATCAAATGGCTGGTGTCTCCAAACCATCACCAACTGCTCAGCATATCAAATATCCAAAACGAGAAAACCCCACTTTGCAATCAAATCATAACAACTACGATAACCAAAAGCACCAAAGCAAAAACCAATCAAAATCCATCCAAAACCAAAACAATGAATCAACAAGAACAATACATATATGTACCCGCGTATATGTGTATGTATATATAGCCATACGGATCCTCCTTTACCTCATCTAAGCCAATGTAGTAAGGGCAAGTATTTGATTTCGCAATCGAAGTAGCGAAATCATAAGTCATACCAACCGTTCCACCACCGGTTGAGGGTGGGTTTTGGTGCCATCTCCGGCGTACGGCTTTGAGAGGAAGATTTTGGGTCATGGGAGTCATCGGAATGTGACGGCTTGGGGTTGGTGGTCGCCGGCCGGTTAATAGAATGGTGTGGAGAGTTAAATTTAATTGGCGGTTGGGAAGTGACAAAGAGTAGCTCCGTTTTTGCTCAGGGTGCCGCGAATTTTGCTTTGTTGCCTGACCGCCTTGCAATTATTTGGGCTGACGCCACTTAGCCCTTGCAAAACTCTAACGAGTAAGTATAACGACAAGGAGGAGGTATAAATTCAACGTTGGAAACATGCTTCCATTTGGGAGTCTATACCACAAAACATTTGATACACTCTCAAAATCATTCATATTGTACTTTACTTCCTCCAAATACGAATTACGCCTAATTTATAATAATTGACACCAAGAGTTTAAAAAAAAATAATAATACTAAGAGTGACATACCTTATCCATTAACCATCAGCCCATTAATAAATAAATGGGTTGATTCCTCATCTTATAATTTCATACTACTATTTTCACATTACTCATTTTAGATAACTCAGCATGTACTAAAAATCCGATTCAAAATACCCTAACCCGTATTCTCACAATAATACCATGATTTATCAATCACATGGTTAGCCAATATAGCACTGTTCCTACATCAAGAACCTTCCTCTCCCTACATAAGATAATAATTTGAAACATAATTCTCCACACCGAAGAAAAATATCAACTTATGACGTTAAGTACAATTTTTCAATAATTCTGTGCCAAATGCTCGACACAAGGGTTCATACTACTTCACACATGGGAACTAAAGTATATAGCAAAAAATAACAAGAGTCTGAAACTTCCCTGAATCACTCGTACAAAAGTGGGAGACAAAAGCAACTGCCTAGATGAAGGTCAAATGTTACTAACATCACAAATAATATCCTTTAAAATGTATAACAACCTAAACGATATGCCAATATACCCGAATGAGAAATCACCTAGAGGAAACAAAATTTGGGATTTTTGGACTAATTGCGCTGGCTATGCAAAAGAAGCAAACTAAACTCTTAAAGGGTGTTTTTAGATATAACTTCACGGAATTTAACAAGCCACTGTGCATCAGAGGAATTACTGTCACGCTGGTTTTGCAGCTGCCCCGTTTTCAGCTGAGATTGCCCTTTTTCAATCACGAATTGTGCATAGTCAATAGTCTTTGAGGGAGCTAGGCAAGGTTTAGATGCAGGAGCTGGAACTAAGGATAGCAGAACCCTTGCCACCTCAAGCATTGTTGGTCTCTCGGAAGGATGTTGCTTTGTGCACAGCAAGGCAAGTTGAAAGGTCTTTCTTACATGGGATAAATCCATGCATGTAATTGAAACCTCGGGATCCACAGCCTCCATCACCGTGTTGTCATCTGCCTTGCACAATATCTGAGACAAGAAATAAAATTCCAAATGACAATGTTTACGAGTTAAACGAAGTACTCAAGTAATATAATTGAATTGAAAATGGTAAGAAATCATCAGGTGTTTATTGAGTAGAATAGCGCTGAATAAATTTACTGCAAAGAATAATGCACAATAAATTTCTTCAAAGACATCAGAAGACATGGCATAGTCTCCCCTACCTACTTGTATCAAATAATTAATGAAAATCACAATTATATTAATCATACAAAAAAAATCTAGTTATATGTGGACTATTACAACTTTATTGACAATTCCTGATTCCAACTATATCTTTACAATATTACTTCAAGGTCTTTGTCTTTAATCATTACCTTTACTGGAGTGTGCCTAAATACATAAAAGGTGTGTCAAACAGTACCTATGACTATAAGCAGGCAAATCTGAGCATCAAACTGAAGTGTAAAAAACAATTTATACACAGTTTGACCCAAATCACCTCCTAAATTGATGGCAGATCAGGATACGGTCATTCATGTAACATTAACATATGAGGATAGAGAAGTAATACCATTTGATGCAAGTTAGATTCATTGTCCACAGCTTTCTTTCCAGTGAGTAGCTCCAGAAGAACAATACCAAAGCTATAAACATCCGACTTTTCATTTAACCGAGAAGTCCGAGCATACTCTGGGTCAATGTATCCAATAGTGCCCAGAACATAAGTGGATGCATGAGTTTTTGTAGTCGGGATACACTTGGCAACCCCAAAATCAGAAAGATGAGCCTCAAAATTCTCATCCAACAGAATGTTTGAGGATTTCACATCCCTATGAATAATTCTAGGGTTGCAATCATGGTGAAGATAAGCAAGCCCTTGAGCAGCTCCAACTGCAATTTTCAGACGTGTTTCCCAATCAAGTTTCACCTTCTTAGATGGTCCTGCAATCCACATTAACAAAAAAATATTAGTGACTGCATGCTTGGATTTATAAATACAAATCTGAAAATATGACTGCACTAATAAAATAAGTAATACAAGTAATGTATGTAATGCGAACATAAATTACACAATAAAAAGCTAACTACAAACAACTGCAAACAGATTTGCGCCTCGAACAATTACATTACACTTCCTTTTACATAGTCTCCCAATTATACATAGAAGCCTTCGAAACAATGCAAGCGCACTTTCAAAATCAGAAGTCGAAAAACTTTCCATTACTAATATTCATGACAGTGAAGGTAAGAATATATACTGACCATGAAGAAGATCCCACAGAGAACCATTCTCCATGTAATCATAAAAGAGGAGATTTCCATGGGGGGAAAGCGAGTAGCCATGCAAACTGACAAGGTTTCTGTGCCTGATGCTGCCAATAGTCTCCAGCTCAGTTTCGAACTCTCGCAAGGTGTGCGGATAGTGAGTGTAAACTCGCTTAATTGCAATAGGTCGGGAATTCTTCAACGCACACTTATAGACCGTGCTTGAAGCACCATAGCCCACAATGTACTTCTCACTCAAGTTCTCAGTAATCCTCATGATATCTTCATAGGTGTGAATAGCCATATCCATGTGAAGAATTACAAGTTTGGGAGGACCTGGAATGCAAAGAAGCCTACCATTAACACCTGAATAAAACTGAATAGTGAATGATCAAAGAAACAGCAGTATCAATGAACATGCCTTGAGCACTCCTGTTGGATCCTTTGATAAAAGGCATAGGTTGGTTGGATTTGTAAACGGCTACTATCACCATGGATAATAGCATGATGAAGCCTAATGTTATGCAAACCACTGCAGTCCTGGAGAACATAGCTGCAGCCAAGTGTTGGACCTCATTTACATTTCTAAGCCCTATGCAACAGAGAGAGAAGAGAAGGGAGGAAGGGTACATTTGGATTATAAATAACGTGCATACCTTTAGATTTTTGTCCATAAGAGTCACATATTGAACCTAACCAGTTTCCACACAACAATGGATTTCCAATAAAGCTGGTGACATAATTAATGCAAAAGGTCAGGAGATTAGGTGGCTTTGCGACTAAAGCCAAGGACAAACTGTTTTAGCATACCTGTCTGGTGAAAATCGGGAAAAGTTTCTGCTAGGCAGAATGGCACCTGACAAATTGTTGTACGAAACATTCCTGAAGCATACAAGGATCAGTAACTTAAGAAGGTTTCAAAATAGACAGCAAACAGGAATGGAACCTCACAGAGTAGTAAGGCTGAAACAATTGATTAGTTGATCAGGAATCTCTCCATTCAGATTGTTATTCTTCAAAATCCTGAAACACAAAGCCAACCCAGATATGGCAATGACATGAGGAGACTTTAAGATGATCTCACAGGATAACAAACAATCTAGCCAGGGTGGAAAAGACTAGATAACACACTTACAGAGAAACGATAGTTAGCAACTGACCCAACTCTTCAGGGATAGCACCAGATAGTTTGTTGAATGAAATATCACTATAAAAAAAAAAATTTAACTGTCATTACTGCTTTCTTTCTACCCAACTTCCAGGTTTGTGATGAAATTGACATAATCTCAAATCTCTCAAAAGAAAAACTGACATAATTTGTATGCTTCTGAGATTCCCGAATTCCACTGGAATTGGCCCATCAAGATGATTGTGACTCAAATTTCTATGTTTGAGAAAGTATTACAGGTTAGATACATTGTACACAAACAGAGACATTAAAGTGACTCTTTTTAAGATTATCCAAGACTTACAAGGTAAGAAGGTGCTCGAGATCACCAACAGAAGCAGCAACAAGTCCTGAGAAATCATTGCTAGAGAGGTCCCTAAACAACACAAGATAGTTGTTAGAGTAGAGGGGTGTAACAAGCACAAGCGAACAACATATCACACTTCACCCTGAAACTCACAATGTATCAAGATTGACAATCCGCCCAAGCTCAACAGGTATGGTGCCCTTAAAATAATTTGATGATAGATTCCTGAGGGGTTTAACAAAAACAATTTCCATTAACATGCAAGAAACACTATGAATAGAACCATAAGTACCAGTCACACTGAAATTCAGTATCTAAAAGAAACAACATACAGATATGTTAGGCTCTCTAGATTTCGGAACCCAGAAGGAATTGATCCATTAAGGCGATTACCATGCACATTGCTACAAATGTGGGGAGGATAAAAATAGCAAAAGCAAGTAAGAATTGGCTGAATAAACAAAGAATTGTGAATGAGTGCAGTGGCAATAGTCAAATTTCATACAAGTGATTCAGTGCAGTGCAGGAGCTGATATTTTGATGAATGGGCCCTTCCAGATTGTTATTGGAAAGATTCCTGCAGAAGAATGGTAAACCAACGTTTAGTACCAATAGACAAGGGAATACAGGCGATGGAGGATTCAAGACTCACAATTCAAAAAGTTGCTCCAGTTTTCCAAGTTCAGCAGGAATCCCACCAACTAGCTGATTATCATTTAATTGCCTGCAAATGACTTAAGCTCATCAACTGCATCCAAACCCAATTAAAATGGTGCATCCAATCAGTTACATGAATTGATTTATCTCACAAGTAGCTCAGCTTTGACATATTTCCAAGCTCCTGAGGGATTGTTCCCGTAAGCTTGTTGCCATGGAGGTACCTGATGCAGCAGACAAATGTATTAAAGCACAGACAAAAGCCACCACTGTTCATGTATTTGTTTTGTAACAAAACTCACAGTTTTCCGGTATAAGATAAATTGCCGAGAATTGGTGGAATTGGGCCAACTAGTTCATTCTCACTTAAGTCCCTGAAAGAGAACAAGGAAATAGATACACATAAACGCTGATCTCCCTGACCCTAAGTTACTACCAATATTATCCCAAGAGACAAATATTTAATTTCAAAATACAGATATCAGCATGCATACTTACAGAACTGCGAGGGCTTGCATTAGACCTATCACCTCAGGAATCGATCCAGTCAGCCTATTACCTTGTAGAGACCTGAAAAAAGGAATCATAAGCACCATACAGACATGTAATACAATGCACATCATAAGCAAGCCCATCAAAAAGATGTCAGTTTTTTTCTACAGTAATAGTTAAAGAAGTTGATACAAAATAAACAAATGGTTTTCCTCACTTCTTCATTTTCCAAATGAGAATGTTACCCAAATAAAAGTAACTTACAGGGTAGCCACTTGCAGAAACCCAATATTATACGGAATCTCCCCAGTGATCTGATTGTATGAGATATCCCTTCAAATTAAATCATAAGAAATAATTATATCCTTAAAGAGCTAATACAAAAGAAAGAAAAAGAAAACGACATTAGAACTTCAACAAGTAGTCAACTAACTTACAATATTTCAAAACTAGTACAATTGCCAATGCTTTCTGGGATTGTTCCAGTCAAGTTATTGCCTCTAACATCACTGAATGCAATATAACAAAATTAAATCAATACCAGAATAAGGCGGCGGCAAAGCTTACAAAAAATAATACAGGGCAAACATTATCAGAAAGCATGAACACTTACAAATACCACAAGCCAGTCAATTGGCACATATCAGGAGACAGTGTTCCTGTTAATGAATTGCCACGCAGGCCACTGTGTACATGGTTATGCAAGAAAGGAGTAATAAGCACCATCGAAAGAGTAAAATTGACAAGCATAAAAGGTATCAAGGTATCAAAAAAGCTCTAAATATCATCTAAAAGCTTTGTCAATGCAACTAAAGCTAATGAGAAAAAATACAGAGTAATTGTTTGGCACTTACAGATACTGTAGTACTTCGTTCCAGTAGATTAACCTTGGTATCTCACCTGTAAGCTGATTTCTAGCTAGATCACTGGACAAATGAAGTTACCAAACACGGAAGCATTTTTGTTAGAACAGGTTACAGCAACACTAGTGAAGAAAATTACTACAACAATCTCGCATGTCGTAAGAATGATCATATTTGCATTGCCAGAAGAAGTTTATCAGACAATACAAATAAGTACAGCTTCTACAAAAAAGTAAAATCAGAGCTCACAGAGTTTTCAGGTTTGGAATCTGCGTTAATGTTGATGGTATGGGACCCGTCAACTGATTGTTTTTCAGATTCCTGCATCAAAGGGGTTTACCCAGATAAAAGGCCCAATAGGAATCCTTCCACATCCATATAGTAACATTATCTGTTATACCATAAATGTAACTCACAATAGCTCAAGCTGCTTAAGCTTAGATATTGAAAAGGGTATGTCACCGTAAAGCAAATTATCAGATAAATCCCTGCAATTCATAGAAAATCCATCACACAACCAAGATATTTTAACCAGTAAATTCTCACCAACAAGGAGAAGGAAATACATATACGAATGAGCATGAATCTATTAGAGAGGAGGGACAAAATTTTACAGAAGCACTAGCGAAACACAGTTGCCAATCTCATCTGGAATTTGACCAGTTAACTTGTTTCCCTGGAGGTCCCTGCCATTATTTGGAAAGCATGTGAGAATAGCTTTTCATTAAAATGGTTTTCAAAAGTAAGATAGGGGTCATGATGACTATCGTACGCAGATTGCAGACTCTTCAAGTCTCCGATGGCTGACGAAATTCCCCCACCCAAATTCAAATTTGATAAATTCCTTCACCACAAAAGACCAATCGAGCTTTTTCAATACAGTCGAAAAGGGATCAATAAAAGAGAGGCATTAAAAATAGCAGCTCTGCGAATCCATCATTGAGGGCAGAGAAAAAGAGAGAAAACCCTACAGAGAAATAACAGACATGCCAACGTTGCCACAAAATACGCCTCTCCAAGAACAGAAATCATCATTTTGAACATCATCCCAGTCCAGTAATTCATTGGCTATGTTGCTAAAAGACGCTTTAACCGACATCAATGCCTTCCCTGTGTACATAAACACCATCTTCTGAACAAAACTTCCTCCAAAATCAATCTACTCAAACGTGTACAGCTAAATAAAACAAAAAAAATATAAATGGTCCACAGGGTAGATCAATAAAGCAACTAGAATCACACTACACCCAATTCTAAAACCAGCATAGAAACTCAGTTCACCAAGCACGTTTGATAGGCAAGAAAACCAAGCAAGTAGCGAAATATCATGGGAAAAACATGTGCTTCCAACATATTTAAGATGACAAAACAATAAGTAACCGAATTTCTTTCTGGCAAATAACATTCCAAGTTTAGTGTATGTTCCTTCTCTCATACATTTTCTCGTAACAACCAAACCAAGCGCCTAGAAAACACCTCGATTCCAGCATTTGAAAGGAAAACGCTCCTAAACTTCACATTTTCAAACCTTCCAATATCTTTTCCGCTACAAAACAAGCTTCAACTTTCCAAAAAGGGCAAAAAAGGCAAATACATAGTGGGAGATGATAATTAGTAAAAACTCCAGGCACACTCATCAGTAACAGAATCCCAAAAGACAAAGCGAAAAACATCTATTTCTATGCAAAATACTTCCATCCACATGACCATTTTATTCAACAGCGACAGAAAGAGTTACCTTCGTCGTCGAGTGATGAAGCGGTAGGACACAGAAACACAAACACCACCATTACACAACAAATACCGAGCATACGGTTCTTCCCCGGAAGCGAAGTTCTCTCCTCCATTAGCAAACCAAAGAGAGACTAGCCTGAAGTGACAGTAGAGAGAGAAAAAAATGCTTGAGAATGTGCAGACCCTGTTTTTTTTTTTTATCAAGAAGTTCCCTTCGTTTTCTCTCCCAGGCACCCCATAGTGAGGCAACCACAGAGACAGAAAGCACAGTGATAGAAGAGAAAACAGGCGTTTGGCGTGAACCGTAAGGAAGAGAGTGTTAACGCTCGTGTTTTATGAAGAGAGAGAATCAACAGGCACAACTGCAGAGAAGATAGTGGGTTTGATAGAGAGAGAGATGGACATATGGGTAAACGGCGGTGAGGCGACGTTAGTTGGTGACTGTGTGGGGGAAGAAATAAAGTTGGAGGCGAAAGAAAGTGGCAGCGGCCGTCAGCCGTACCACCGTTTCCCGAAGTGCTTACATTTTTGACACCTACAAATGTTTACAGCTTCTGTACTATCGCCACGCGCTATTTCATACAACATGGCGCGTGCTTTGACCCAGCGGTTGTGATGTGAGGATGTTATACGTCTTAATGGATAGGAGAAAATATACTCACAACACCCCTATAGTTTTTATAATGTTAGAATATATAAATGCAGTTCTTCAAAACACACTAATATGCCCATTCTCCTTAATCTTCCTTCTTTCTCACACAAAGTCCCTTGCCCGTTCTCTCACAAACCTAAAAGGCTGTGTTTTTAAACTTGTGTTTTTTAACTCCCTTAGATAAGAATTGCAGTTCATAAGAAAAACAACCTTTGTCATGGATAAAACGGAACCAAGAGATAGTTAGATTATTCCGAGAAATTAGAAGCGATGCAAAATTGATAAAAAAAATTGTCTAAATCATAGGCAAACATTATAAAAAGTGGCCTAAACAATAGGGGTATTAGAAAGGAAATTTGAAAAATTCCAGCATGAATTAAGAAAATTTTGGCTAAAAAATAAGTGTGTCGCCTTGTACAACCAAATCTTGAAACCCTAGAAAATTGTGTAAACCACTATAAAAAACCAGATAAAGGTTAAGTTTAAAGTACACACTTATTTCTCTTGCAAATTATTTAACTTTTCTCAAAATTAGTATTGACTTAAATATCGAGTGCTTTTAGCAGATATTCTTGGTCTTGACAATTTGTTCTTTTTGTAGAAAGAAAATCCTTTTGTTCATTTTTTTTGTCAAACAAAATTCTACAACCTTTAATTCAAAATACAATATTTTTTTTCTCTTATATATAGTAATGTCGTTGTCCTATAAATTGGAGATGACTCTCAAAATATGGTAGAATGGCAATTATGCTACATTTTCATTTTAATGTAAAAAGAAAGAAAAAAAAAACTAAGAAAAGAAGACAGTTTTGATAAATTTAAGATGTGAAGTGCCAAAGAGGGTTTATGGAGAGTGGGACTAGCCCCCTACAATATCCTATCAAAGCTCTAATGGTATGTTTGGTTGGATGAAAGAAAAATAGAATGATAGAAAATGAGAGTAATATATTTTCTATTATTCAAGAGATGAATCATTTTTTTCTCATTTATATTTGGTAGGAGGTATGAAAAATAGGGAGGATTGATTTTTTTTTGTATTTAGTAGAATGAAAAAGTAGAAAAATGAAAAAATATAGATGGATTAGTCATAACTCTTATCTGAAGATACGATGAAAAATATAAAATTCGTGCGTAAAAAAATTGATTCCATTATATTAAATAATAGTTTTTATTTTCTTTATTTTTTTGATTATATCTTTTTAAATGTATTTTTATCCATTATTTTTTAAAAAAATATGAACAAAAATATGTAATCCGACAAATTTTCTCAACATGTGCATACTATCACGTATGGATAATGTCTAAAACAAAAATTATGTTAAATTACAAATTAATTAAATATTAAATAATTAAATATGTGATATAAATGAGTGATAAAATGATTTTAAGGGATAAAATATGTATAGAATAAAATTTCAAATACTTAGCTATTTTATTATAAAGATATTTTATCGTTATATCTATATATAAAAATAATGTATATATAATTTTTAGAGTAAATTTCATCAACATCCCCTCTAAATAAGTCTATCTTCAACGACACCTCTTGTCTTTTCTGAAATTTCACTGATCTCCCCTGTCAATATTGGTCGGCTAACAGACGTGACGGAAATAGACGTTTTACCATTTTACCCATGAATTTTATAAAGAATTATATATTCACCAATTATTTTTCATTAAACTATATATAAATATATATTCCTATTTCCAAGTGTTATGTGGAGTACTATTAAACTATATATAAATATTATATAGTTTAAGTGTACGGTGTCATTGATTTTTTTTTGAATTTTTTTTTCTTGTATTATGTTTAAGTGTACGATGTCACTGGTTTTTTCAAAAAAAAATTATTTTGAATTTTTTTTCTTATATTATGTGTTAAGCATACGGTTTCACCGTTTTCTTTTTAAAATTATTTTGAATTTTTTCCTTATATTATTTTTAAGTGTACGGTGTCACCATTTTTTTAAAAAAAATTATTTTGAATTTTTTTCTTATATTATGTTTAAGCGTACAGTGTCACCATTTTTTTTTTAAAAAAATTTCTAAAAAAATTATTTTTTTTCTTTATATTATGTTTAAGCGTACAATATTACTAGTTTTTTTTTTAAAAAAAAAATTTTAAATTTTTTTTTGTATTATGTTTCAGTGTACGGTATTTCCGAATTTTTTTTTAAAAAAAAATTATTTTAAATTTTTTTCTTGTATTATGTTTAAGCGTAAAATATCATCGTTTTTTTTTTTAAATTATTTTGAATTTTTTCCTTATATTATGTTTAAGTATACGATGTCACTGGTTTTTTTTTTTTAAAATTTCTAAAAAAATTATTTTAAATTTTTTATTTGTATTATGTTTAAGCATACGGTGTTACCGATTTTTTTTTTTAAAATTATTTTGAATTTTTTCTTTGTATCATTTTTAAGCGTACGATGTTACCAATTTTTTTAAAAAATTATTTTGAATTTTTTTTTATATTATGTTTAAGCGTACGATTCACCGTTTTTTTTAATTTTTTACGGTGTCTCCTATTCATAGCACTAAATTTTTTATATTATTCTTCACCCGTTCATGCTAGGACCAGTGACTTGGATTCATTGCCACGTTTTTGCAGTTTAGTGATTGAGTTGTTAAGGCATGTGAGAGAGAGAGAGGGGGGACAAGAGTTTCATGCGGAATAAGAAGGGTAAAATTAGCATTTCATAAAAAAATTAGTATGACATCAACACTTTTTTGACTTTGAGCAACGACCGGTTACTGGAAGGGGTGTCTTTGATTTAATAGTGTAAACTATAAGGGAGTACAATGAAAATTCAAAATGGGGAGGGGGTGTCTTTGAATTTATGTCTAACTAGAGGGGTGTTGATAAAATTTTTCCTAATTTATAATAAATAAATATGATATATGCATAATTAAAGGATATGTAGGTAAATAAAATACATTTCAACATATATATTTAATTTTTTATCCACTTTTGCTTATAATTTTGGAGGAATTGATTTTCGTGAAGTAGAAGAAAAATTAATACATCAATTTTTCTATCTCTTCTATTTTCCTTCCTTATCAAACACGACATTTTATTAATCTTTTTAATATTTCATCTTCTTAACTTTCTATCATTTTATTTTTCATCGTACCAAATATTTAGGGTAAATGTTGAAGGTATTACAAAATATTAGAATATTGGTGTAATTTGTCAAAATAGATATGGAAACTGCATGGTGAGTGAGTGATAGGTGCAAGTTGGGGATGTTGTGGTACATGGAAGAGAGAGAAGGGCGTGCTTAATAATACTCTGGTACTGATAAGGGGACAGATGAATTGGTTGGCTGGTTTGAAGGAAAACACTCTATTACTTCCACCCACCTTTTTGCCATCTCAAATTGTTTGCCTTTGTCTTATCCTCTTGCAATCCCAAAAAGATATTGACAGCAAAAAACAAATATGAGAAGTTTTTAATTTTTTTTTTTTTGGGTGAGTAGAAGTTTTTAAATTATAGACAAAAGAACTCAATAAAGTAATCGTCGAATAAACTTATTAAAATTTGACATATTTTAATTATATTATAAGATCCCAAAAAAAATATATATATTACGAGTAATCCGTGTATGATGGCTCAGTGCAATGTGAATAATTTTCAAAAGAATATTAGTGGCCATTAAATGACTCTATTTAAGATATTCAGATGAACTAATTAAAAATTGACATGCTTTAATTATAGATATAAGAACCAAAAAAAAAAAATTTGATTGACTTCCCTTAAATAATTGATTAATAGGCTATTTGTAAATAATTTATTCTCATTTTGAGATATGCAGGTCCAAACTTCCTAACTACTCTCTAAAATTATATAGCTTCCTACTGATTTCAATATAAGTTTTACTGTTTTCATATTAAAAAAAATAATTATTTGTAGCCAATAATACAAAAAAATAAGGTAAAGTGAGAATAAAATTTCTCTCACAATGGTAGCTTATAAAATACATATATCATGGAATCATCATAACATATATCATTGAATCTTTCAACTTCAATCTTTTTTATCACTGTCTAACAATTAGTCAAATTTACATAAGACTTGAAATTGTAAAACTAGCACCCTTTTTTCTTCATATATTTGGATTTTTTTTGTTTTCTCTCTAGGAAAAGGCAATTCTTCTCTGCCAAGGAAAGTTGTTGCAATTGTACAAAGGAATCAAAGTGATGCAATCAAATTACACAATTTTGTGTAGGAGTAATTCTGGGGAGCATTTCAAGCACCTTTTCTGTTACTTGAAAGTGGCAACCACCACCCACACACCAGCATTTTTGCTTTACTTGCACATCAATACAATTGATACTGTCTGGTTCAATCCAAAAAAAGGTATAGTCTGGTGTGTTTCTGTTCAGCTTCAAGAAATTCTAGGCACTTCCATTCCTGTGTAGGAGGTGGGAATGAACTAATGGTTAATAATAATAGTTCCAAATAATGTTTACTATAATGGTTAATGAACTATTAGTTGCATTGTACGTGCATACATTAAATAAAAGTTTACTTTTTAGGGGTTTTTTAATTTTGAACGTACTTGCTTATTGGGATCGGTAATAAAATAACATTTAAATAAAACTTTTACAGAGACTTATTTATTACTAAACAATAAATAAAAGAAGAACTATTGCCTGGGCATTCAGAAGCAGAAGCAGCCGACAGCATCTTCTGGTTCTCCCTTTCTGTTTTTTTCTACCTTAGGAGTGAATGATATTTGGATTAATTTATATATATTTTAATTATTTTTGTTTGCTTGATTCAGTTAAATACAGATTATTCATATTAAAGTTAAAAAAATTATGAAAAATACATTTTTGATAATTAAATAT